CTGGCGTTTAGCAGAAGATGCGTTTTAAAGCAAATTTAGGTAAGTTCTCCTTCAGGGCCCCGCTTCCCTGGCCTAAAGGGGTCGAAACAATCTCGTTTATTTTAGAAATGATTGCCCTCCCTTACTGATGCTTCAGACTAAATTTGGTTGAATACTTCTCTGGCATTTAGGAGGAGATGCGTTTTAAAGAAATTTAGCTAAGTTCCCCTTCAGGGCCCCGCCCCGTTGGCCTCAGGGATTGAACCAACCTCATTTATTTAAGAAATGATTTTCCTCCTCTTGTGAAACTTCAGTCCAAATTTTGTTGAAATCCTCTTTTGCGTTTAGGAGAAGCTTGGTTTTAAGAAATAGTTGACGACGGATGACTACGGACGACAACGGACAACAGACGACGGACGCTGAGCCACGGCATAAGCTCACTATGGTTCTTCAGACCAGGTGAGCTAAAAATGAAACACTATTTTCCAGCAATCCTGAACTTATGAACAATTTCATATATTCCAGCAATGAGCATGTCAATCACATCACTGGTCAATTTCATCTATTGGACTACTACTTTCATTTTTTCAAGAAAAATCCTCCACATTCAAATCTTAACAGAAGTGTTTTTGTTCAACATAAGTCGTCACACACGAACATTTATTTGCATCAAAACCAACACAAAGATAAACTGACTATTATTTCAGAAAACAAAACTTCTAGTACCTGCACCTGTAATATACCTAAAAATTCAAATCCAAATTCCGACCAGTATTTTAATCCGTACTTGTATGGGAAACTCTTTTAGTTATAAAACAAGAAGCCCCGATAGCCTGTATCGCTCACCCTGATATTTAAGCAGTCAAACAAAAAATATTTTCATTAAAAAGTCATACTGCACTACAAATATTTCAATTTCGGGAGTCGTTTAGAGTGCTTGACATATTTAACACTTGTGACCTTGAAAGTTGGTCAAGGTCATTTTCATCCTCAAACTTTGTAGGGCTCCATCCCAAGAAGCTACAAGCCAAATATGAGTATTATATATTTTTTTCAGTTTTTAAGAAGAACTGTTTGAAGTTTTTGACATATTTTTACACTTGTGACATTGAGAGTATAGATCAAGGTTATTTTCATTCTCAAAATAGTAGGGCTCTATCCCAAGAAGTTGTTTAAAGAAAAAATTGACGGACGACGACAGACGACAGATGCCACTCCCCAAAGGACAAGTGAGCTTAATATGTCCCAAAAGTGCACATGTTTAGATAAGTCTAGAACCATTTTTTTTTACCCGAAGGAAGAGAGCTAGGTTCACATATATATACTCTCTGTTTACTTTAATGTGGTCAGTGTGATCTTCGCCTGTGACCATTGACCCTTTAACCCTGATCAATGACCACATAATCTAAGCAGGTGTTGAACTTAATAATTACCATAAAATAGTTCATTATATAAACTAAATATTTGGTTTGGTTCCTGAGATAACTTGTACACATGCAAGCTTTTTGCTATATGGATGGACGCCTTGCCTGTGACTTTTGACCCGTTAACCTATTTATGATGACCACCTGTACACAAGCTTTTTACTTCAAAAGTGGTAAAGTGTGATCTTCGCCTGTTACATTGTAACTTTGAATCTTTTAACTTGACTGATGACCACCACAATATAAACAGGTGGAACATTAAATGTTACCATATTATGGTATAAATATAGAAGGTTAGTTTGGTGGCGCAGTGGATATCGCACTCGCCTTTCACAAATATGGCCAGGGTTCGATTCTCTGATCCGATGTGAAAAGGTATGGGTTCACCTGCCTGATTGCATTGGGTTTACTCCGCTAACATCAGCACAAACAAGGGCAATTAAAATAAGTCATAAGAACTTCTTTCATAATTGTTTGAAAAAAAATAAAGTTTATATTAAATGTAAATGTACCATAGTTGCAAACATCATGTAGCTGTGCTCTGACGACAGCCTCCCTTTGGCCGAAACATGTCAGCACATAGGATATAAATCAAGCATCACATTTTGTACCAGATTCAGTGGTGTTGCTTCTCATCATTTCAATTTTTATAAACTAAATGCAGTAAGGGGTTAATGAAATATTTTATACACAAAGTTTTACTAAAGACGGACGTGCAGACAGACACAATGATTTTGTTTGTTTGGGTTTTAACCTCCTTGCAACAACCAGGGTCATATTAAGACGGATGCCAAGGAATATATTGTCGGGAAGAGAAAGTAGATATAAACTAGAACTGTCGCCTATGGCTTAACTAATACCCCCGCATTCCGGCTACTTGTTGCCACAACGGAAACATATATAGAAAGATCAAGGGTTAGGAAAAAGTCTAACCTCATGACATATCGACAGAACGATGGAAAAGACAAACACCACTACTGTGACCTTTGACTCAATGACCTCAGAATTTTGTCACAATGTATCTTCCCTCAATGCTACATTTACTCCAAGGTATGTGTATACAGAATACCTACCATTTTTGCCAAAATTAGCAATTTCAGTAACATAATGCATCTGTGACCTTTGATCTTTGACCTCATGACCTTGAAAGTTTGAAACAATAAAGCCTTCATAATTGGCTACGATACTCACAAAATACCTACTGTTTCCGAGATATATAGCCATTTCTGTAATGTAATTTATTCGTGACATTCGACCTCTGACCCCACGACCTCAGACAGAAGCTGTCAGTAGAGTAGATTGCATAAAATCCTACAATATTTTAATGTATATGTATATACAAATACCTTCCGTTTCCGAGATATTTAGCCATTTCAATAAGGTAATTCATCTGTGACCTTTAACCTTTGACCCAAATACCTTGGAAATTTGTCAGTTGGGTAGCTTTCATTAATCCTTATAATATTCCAATGTATATGTGTATACAAAAAACCTACCGTTTCCGAGATCTTTAGCCATTTCAGTACTGTAATTCATTTGTGACCCTTAACCTTTGACCCAGCGAAAAGTTGAACCCTGACAACAAAACTTGTTATATATGTAAAACACTATTCAAGTATTACCATACCAAATTTGGAAGGATTTGAATAGAAAATAAAAAGTTCTTGCGTTTTCTATACAGTGTCATGGTCTAGAGAAGGTTTATGAACCAAGGGCCATAACTTTGTGAAAATGAGAGAAAACCCGATGAAACGTACTTTACGCACATCTCCAAGCTGCAAGGATTTTTATCAGCAAATTTCATTGAAATCCATCCAGTAGTTTAGGATAAGTAAACAGTACTACCACAGTACTACATTGCGTCAACAGACGGACAACCTTATCACAGTATAACACCCCCCCCCCCCCCCCCCC